ACCTGTCATTCCTAAGATCACCTTTTAGAAACACTGGCAAACACCAGTCATCTCTGTCAGATGTTATTTTTAACAATAAATCACTTCTTTTTTCTTCCCAGCTGGGCTATTTCAATCTTTTGTCCCTTCATAATTCTGGAGAGCATCATTCAACACAGGGCAATAGTAGATTTCATGCCTGCCTGTGACAATGAATGCATCTAATTTTATGCCTACAGCAAATTTACCTGTTCACTGAGCTGTATGACTTGAGTTTCCAAATCTTTATCTGATTTAGATGCTGAGCTGCTTGGTGCAGCTTTCTTTGCTGAAGATGGGCGAGAAGGTGTTGATCCTGGTTTAGAAGCTGGACTGGATTTAGCAGCACCTGAGAAATACAATAAAAAAATAATCATCGAGATTTATCCCTATGATAAATCCAGTTCCTATTAACCTGATACTGAAACAAAAATGTTCATTTTACAGACAACAATTCGCCAGTGCTGCTATACCTTGGGGAAAAAACCCCACATGTTTCCTAGTAGTTTTACTTTGTGTTTACTACTCAGAATGAAGTAACTCTGAAACTAAAATAAACAAACATCAAGCTAAGATTATAAAGTTCCCTTAGCTGTCAGCAGCTTTCAGCTTTAAAAAAATATGCCATTAGCAGCCCATTCCCCCAGCCCAATATTTAGTGTACATGTCTATCTGCAATTTTCCTGGAGAAAGGCAGGCTTGAAATCAACCCAGCTAAACTGCCTGTGCTTTCCCCATTTTCAGATGCAAACCATCCCTGAGACAAAGGCATTGCAAGTCACAGAGCACGCAGAATTAAATCCTTCAGTGAACTCACAGTTGCCATAGTGACTAAGAGATGAGTTTTGGTCTGCTTAGGTTTTGCCATTTGTTTTTAATTACTTGCACTGCAAATCTGCCAGAATACGGAGCAACATCTTTACCAGCAAAACTGGCAAGTAACAAGTGCGCACGGGTACCTTTTTTCACAAGGCCTGAGGCACACAAATGCCCAAGCAGGGAAACATTTGTGTCAAAGGGTTTGCAGTGCCTTCATACGAACGTCACACCTTGCTCTGCCTCTCCATCTTTCCTCTCCTTGTCGCTGGCTGTTTGATTTAGTCGCTCAGCCCCGGTACATGAGTGCCCGGCTCCCGGCCATCCACCTTGCCTGGGCTCCCACAGGCACTGTGCTCTCACTCACAGCCTTTTCCTTGTTCCCTCCAACTGGGAAAAAATTCAGATGCAGTGAACATACATCTGGCACAAAAATCGCTTGGGTAAAGAAGACAAAACAGAAACCCAGCCTCTCCGACCTGTTTTATTTGATTTATTAAGCAGGCATGGGAATAAGAAGTCGTGCTTTGCAGCACCCACAGTTATCACTGTTTCTTACAAAGAGCAAAATACAGCTGACCAGACATGTGGATGAGCTCCATGGCCATCGCCACCATCAGATGTTGTCAGCTCTGAAGCCTGGGACACACAGGGTGTGGGAGAAAGCCTGAATCCAGCAAGCACCCAGCTGCCGGCTGAGCTCTGAGCTTGCTCCACTTCTGGAGGGATTTGCCCCAGCTTTCTCCGCAGCCACCTTCCACCCCACACCTCACCAGCTGCTCCTCCCATACAATTGCTTGATTTATGGCACACTACAAATTGTTTTAAGTTGTCATTTCCACAATGTATCCCCAGTATCAGACAACACTTTAATAAAGTAATTCATTGTAAAACCAATGTTTTACGAAGGCGTTGCTAGGAAGAAATTGCAAGGAGGCAGGGAAAGGCAGGAGGGGAAGAGACAACTTGTGGTGCTGCCCATATGACCAAACCCTGGAGCTCACACGGTCTCAGTGACCTAGAACTGTGTACAGCGGTCCCTTGGAGGAGCTGAAAAGCGATGGGAAAGGAAAGCAGCAATGGGTTATTTCATCAAGCTTGCTTAAGCTTTCCTGATCTAGTCACAGGCCTCTCTTTGTAACAAGCACCTCCTCCCACCTCTAGTGGTAACTCTGTATTAACTGGGTCATCTAATGCCAACAGAACACAAACAAACAACTTGATAATCCAACTGACTTGTGTAAACATGTCTCTGCAAGATGCCCATCCTCCTTTTCTATGCTCTTTAATATAAGACAGATAAGAAAAAAAAAAAAACATATATGTTGGGGATTTTTTTTTTTTCCTCAGAAATTGGTGACTCCAATAGCTTCCATGTCTAATTGCATATACAAATTCACCTCTAGCAGATTTCAGATACAGTATACAGACCCGCTAAAGTTGGGAAAATTCAATATTGTATGAATGAAATTAAACTTCTTTTCACATCATACTTAGATCAGCAAAGAATAAATCATTTGTGGAAAAACATTAAAAATGCCAAGGTCTTTCTCCATTATTTCTTTCTTTAGGCAATTTCATTAACTTTAGCGCCCTGCCTTCAATGCTCTGCAGGTTCAGTCCATATTTGGACTAAGTAAAAATCAGCTGCTTCAGAGCAGGATTGTTAAGAGGCTCTCAAAGCTAGGAAACTAATTTTCCTTTGGATTAGCAGGTAAACAGAAGAAAACTGGTGTCAAAATATGCAAGATAAACACACGTGTGAAATAATCACTTTGACTATAGCATTCTAGTTGGGCTTCAGGTTATTTAATGAATACTTGTATCACATGCAACTGCAACAGTTACCTATACAACATTTAAAATAATATATATGTATACTAAACCAAGGTATCAACATTTATTTCTTACCATATTCTGCAAGATGCAGTTCAGGATATCAACTGAAAATTAAGTGCTATAAAACAAGCTATGGATCTTCAGATGCAAAACCTTGGCTGGTCGGTGCAGCTCCCCCCTCTACCAACCACCCTTCTACTCGAAGGCAGCACTGGTTTGTCTCTAGGCAGCAAGCACCTGCGCACAAGCACAGGAGAAGCTGCTCAGCTTTTCTAGGGCAGCATCCCCCGGCCTGTCAGCTCTTCACCATTTCTCCTGGAGGGGATCATGGTGCAAAACCTAAGCAAGGCACGTTGTGCAGTCATGGCATATTGCTCCCTTCCATGCTCAACAGCCCTGTGAAGCTAGTTCTTTGTAGATTGGGGTAGCGATCACAAAAAGCCAAATCATTAAGTACACACCTCTTTTTAACCTGCAGAGAGAGTTAAGGCCAGAGCAGGCACAAATATTTAATCCCCAGGTATTCTCTCTAATTTGCAGCTGATGTGCCCTCCCAGAGCATGCTGAGCAAGCCCACATCACCACTGTCTGCGGACAGAGAGGCCTGGATAGCAGCAACACACCGCATTATATTCTGCCCTCCTTTGAAAACAACAAAGCCTTTTGAATTTCCACGGCAAAGTGTTACTAAGCTTTATAAAGTCCAGACAAATCAAAAGAAATCGACTTTTGCTCCGCTGCTCAGGATCAGCTCTTAAATGAACATGATATTCCAATGTCAGTAATGCAGATAAAAACCAGCTAAATAACCTGAGCATTTCAGACTGTATCAGCTACAGCTGGATAGAACTTAATTGCAACAGAGAACGCCTAGGGATTTCTAATTTAAAATTTCCTGGAGTGGGAAAAAAAAAAAAAAAGCTTTACTGCACATTTATTCTGAAATATCAGTTTTAGAATCAGCTCAGAGGTAAGCCTCCCATTTCTAACAGAAGCTTAATTTCATAAAAGAATTAAAGGATGCTCGTTGGTAGAGTAGTGCAAAGTACTTGAGACAGCCAGATACCTAAACAGAGATGAAAGATCTTGGTCGACTTAATGACTTTGCTATTGAGCACCACAATGGCTTTGCAGTCAATTAGTGCAAGTGTGGAATAACTCCTAATGCATTGCTCAGAGGGGCTATATAACCCAAGCAGTTTAAATTCTCTCCAACATTGTATCTTCTATGAAAATATATATATATGAGCCATTTACATATTCTGAGAAAGCACAGAAATTTTATACAAATATTTTACATACAAAATACCTGATAACCAGCTCTTTTCACTGACCACTGAGAAAACTGCATTGTAATCAGTGCCATAAATGTTACCCATTACCAACTCCTTTTCAAGCTTACTGTCGATGTTCAAAAAGATACTCAAAACCTGACTGGACATGGTGCTGGGCAACCAGCTCTAGGTTACCCTGCTTTGAGCAGAGGGGTTGGACTGGACGATCTCCGAGGTGCCTTCCCACCTCCACCGTTCTGTGAGAACTTCTGTTACAGCATGCTCTGATTTTAGGTTAATGCAGGGTCCAACTGGATTTTTTTTAAACAGTATCACAGCTGCTTCAGTTAGCACCTGGATAACTTTTTATACCTGCCCATGTAACAGCAGCAGAGATGGGAAAAATAAATTTACAGTTGAAAGACAAATTATTTTGTTCTTGTACTGAAATAAGTTAGCTGAACCAGCTTTGAAACACATTACAATTTTCTATCTGTTGTACTCCAGAAACAATTACCAGTCAGTCCCATCATAATGAAATATATCCCCTCCGGTTTCAGCTTTAGTACTCTTTTTGCTAAAGACATTAAGTTTTACAAACAGATGTACACTTCTGCAATTTAAAACAGTGGATGTTGGCACTGTGCAGGTTTTGGGTACAACAAAGCTAGGCTGTGAATTCCAGGTCACTTTACATCACAAGCGCAGTCTTGCAGACAAGAGACCTATTTAATGTTTAGAGAGAAATCTTCCTTGAAGCTATATGAGTAATTAGTATACTGTTAAATATTTATGTAAAATTCCAAGGAAATAGATGCATGAATACAGTGTGGACGTGCGTGAGGACAGCATGGAGAGCAATGGAAGCCCTGAGCAAGCACGAGACTTGGCTGAGCCCTCACGACCACTGCTTCAACGGAATTTGGGAATCACTCGCAGTATATCTTCAGTCAAATTAAAGGACTTCATGAAGTGAATATTCCTGACTCATGCCACAGAAGGAAAAAAAAAACCCACCAAGAGGCCACAGAGCTAGCAATTTCTTCACGAGCTAAAGAAAAACTCTCCATCCACTTAATAAAAATGAGTGAGAACAGTAAATAAATTAATATTCACACACACTTATTGTTGCTGCTACACTGGGATGCAAGAAACTGCTCAATTTAGGGATGCTTAATGGCATAAGTGATGACAAATTATGCTTAATGGGAATGAAATGACCTCAGACAAAATCTGACTCGACTTTCAGCATCCCAACACGCTGCAGCTCAGCTGCCTATTTTGTGCTACTAACTTCCCCTGGGTGGCAGTTCTCCTCTGTCCCCTCAGGTCTCCACACCTCCGCTGCTGCTGGCCACAGTACAGTCTGATGAGCTCTACTTTGACCACCTGCCAGACAGCTGGCAAAGAGAAGCGTGTA